AAGGGATTGCAGCATGGCCATCACCACTGGGGGGGGGTTGATTTCTCACTTTCTGTCTCTCTGTTTCTCTCTGTCTTTCTGGCAAGCACACACGCCCTATAGCAAAAACCTCTACACACACAAAAAAATGTTGGTTATTGTGGTCTTTACCTCTTTATGGTGCAGTTGATGAAGAGGCCCTGGGGCCTCTTAAGCCTTTTGAGAGGTTAATGGTTCTGCAAAGCAGAGCCTGGAACCATGAAGAGCCACCTGTGCCTCTGGAAGAGTGGATGGAGGGTGGGGGGTTGATTTCTCAGGCCATACAAATAAACAGGATAATACCAACATTTTCTTAGCGCTTCCAAATCATCACAAAGGTGATGAAGGGAAAACAATCCAGGTTGCTTTCTAATTTTGCTCTCTTGCCATAAAGCATGGAAACAAGTTTCTTTCACGGACAAGTCTACATTCGACCATGTGGTCCTGGGTGCAGCTCCTCAGCCTTACTCATAATATCTTTCCATTTGCTGATAAATCCAAAGTGCATATAAAAGAATTCCTCCAGGACCAGCAGTTGGCATAATGGCTATGTCACTGGACTCCCACGTAGTTGACTGTAGTTCAAGTCCTGGACCTGGTGGCTTAAACTTATGCCAGGCGCATGTGCGTGCATGCCCAAGATCCCGAGAGGAGAATGGAGGAGAAGGGATTGCGGCGTGGCCATCCCCCCTGGGGGGTGATTTCTCACTTTCTGTCTCTGTCTCTCTCTGTCTTTCTGGTGAGTGCATGCGTCCTATAGCAAAAATCTCTCCAAAAAAATAATTCGTCCATTAAAATCTTCCAATACAAATGAATAAACTGTCAAAATGGTGATGAAACTATTTTTTTTTAATATTTCCAGGAAAGGGGGAACATAAATTCTGCAGAAGTCTTTTAGAGTAATAGACCCTAAAACCTTTGCTGCGTGTTCTAGGATTGAAGTTTTCCAGTTGATTCAGGCCCTGGCCACCACGATAACACAGCCTCTCGGCGACACAGTGAAACAGCACTTCTGAACATTGCCCAGTGACATCACAAAGAAAACGTTTATTTTTTTTCTTCGTGTCGTTGATTTTATTAAGTAAATCTTTTTTCCCCCCAGTTTTGCTATAGGGCACATACACTTGCCAGAGAGAGACAAAGAGAGAGAGACAGAGAGAGGGAAAGTGAGAAATCACCCCAGCGGGGATGGCCACACCACAGTCCTTTCTCCATTCTGCTCTCAGGGTTTGGGGCATGCGTGCACACATCGGTGTGTTTCCCAAGCTTCTGGGTCCAGGCCTCAAACTGCACAATCCAGCCATGTGGGATCCAGCCACCTTAACTTCCACACTACCTGCCTGCCCTTTTGATTCTAGAGTCAAGAAAAAGTGAGGTCTCTGCTTTTTAAGGTTAGTTCTCAGCAGAGGAATTTTTTTCCCCCAGAGTTTAGGACTTTTTAAATTTGTCCTACAGTCATTGAAGCAAAAATCATGATAAAACATTCTCCAATGCAAAAACAAAAACAAAAACAAAACAAAACAAAACTGTTTTTTAGGGAAAAAAAGTGGTTTTGTATATGGGATAAAGCAATATAAATTCAAAACTTACAGATAAGGGTTAGCTCTATCGCTCATCTCTTTAAAAAGAATATCTAGCTAAAATCAATAGTATCTTCCCTTGAAACATTATTTCTGCAGCTTTCCAAGGAAGCCACAGGACTGCACCCTGTCTTGGAATGTGCTCAAAGGCTCTGTCAGTGATCAGGTAACAGAGCAAAAACCCCAGTCCTTCCTTTCTTCTTTTTTCTTTTTTTTTGGAGAGGTTTTTGCTATAGGGCGCATGCACTCACCAGACAGAGAGAGAGAGAGACAGAGAGACAGAAAGCAAGAAATCACCCCCCGGGGGGATGGCCATGCAGCAATCCCTTCTCCTCCATTCTCCTCTCAGGATCTTGGGCACGCACGCACATGTGCCCTGCATGACTTTAAGCCACCGGATCCGGGACGCGAACTACGGTCGACTACATGGGAGTCCAGTGACATAGCCATTACGCCAACTGCTGATCTCAGCCTTTCTTTCAACTGGAAAAGGGAAGACAGAGGGACAGAGAAAGTATTTAAACTTCATCTTCTTTCCTTGTGGCTTATGATCTCCTCCTCTGCCTCCTAGGAAACTACCTCATCCTCCAAAGCCTCCTTGGCCTATGCCACCAAATCCACCTCTGCCTCCACCTCAGGCCCGCTTCAGCAGAGAATTTTTAAAAAGACACATCAAAAGCACATTGTTCTTCTTCCTCCTTGAAGCCTGTATCTTGGCAGGCTAGGGTATGCCATATTCTTTTTTTTTTTTTTTTTTTTTTTTTTGGGGGGTTTTTTTTTTTTTGGAGAGGTTTTTTACTATCGCCAGAAAGTCAGAGAGAGACAGAAAGTAAGAAATAACCCCCCAGGGGGGATGGCCACACTGCAATCCCTTTTCCTCCATTCTCCTCTCAGGATCTTGGGCATGCACGCACATGCGCCTGGCGGGAATTTAAACCACCTGGTCCAGGACTAGAACCAAGGTCGACTACGTGTGAGTCCAGTGACATAACCATTATGATAACTGCTGGTCCTGGGTTTGTCATTTTCTGAGAAATGGCCCTCAGAACACACAGAGGGCAGGTTTCCCTTCTCGGGGAGCTGGTGAAGAGTCTGGTTCTTAAGCTCATTCTCCACTCGGGCTCAAGAGAAAGACTAGTCATTTAAACACAGGTATTTTCTCTCTGGGCTGGGACCTAGGTCCCCAAGATGTGGCTAAATGCACCAATAAGGTCAGGACCGTGCATAAACATGGGACCCGCTCTGGTGTCTAAACTCTGGAAAATGAAGAACATTGAAATCAGCCTGAACCGAGTACACTGGCTCCTTCTGTGGCAAAACCAAGATGAAGAGAGGCACTGTGTGGGTCTGGCACTGTGATTTCTGCCTAGAAACAGTAGCCAGAGGTGCCTGGACCCACACCACCACTTCCACTGTCACAGTCAAGTCCACCGCAGAGGACCGAGGAACTGAAAGACCAGGAGAAGCACCACGGACATTTGGAACATCACTAGCCTGCAATAAATGGGCTCATTTATGTAACAAAGTTGCCTTGGTTTGTTGTTAATTGTGTTAGACATTCTAACTAACATCGTGAATACTGCTTTTTCAAGAGACTTGAAAATTAAAGTCCTCCTAGTTTGGAAAAGCATGCTGAGATAGCTTATTAAAAAATGGATAGTTTGGGACCAGCAGGTGGCATGGTGGTTACAATGCTGGACACTGCCACATGGCCGACCACAGTTTGAGTCCCGGACCTGGTGGCTTGTTTTCTCACTTTTCCTCTCTCTCTGTGTGTCTCTCTCTGGTCAAATTGAATGAATGAATAAATTTAAAAATTAAATTTAAAAAAAAGGATTTTTTGGCCCAGCATCAAAAATGGTGGTTAAGGCACTGGACTACCACATAGCTGACCACAGTTTAAGTCCTGGACTCAGCAGCTTGCTTTCTCACTTTCTCTCTCTCTCTCTCTCTCTCTCTCTCTCTCTCTCTCTCTGTGTCTCTCTGATGAGTGTACATGCCCTATAGCAAAAAATTTTTAAATACTACTACTAACAATAAATAAAATTAAATAAACAGACTTTTAAATGGGTATTTCTTATAGCGAGGTAAAGAATGACTGCTAGAGGCCAGGAAGGACGGGTGGGGCGGGAGGATGCTAGGACAGTGGGATGTTGATTAATAGAAATGAAACTGCAGATAGATAAGAGGAACAATTTCTAATGTTAGAGAATAGGGACAATGGAGTTAACAACCGCTTACTGTACATCTCAGAGTAACTAAAAGGAGGAGATTTTCAATGTTCCCGACACAAAGTAGTAACAGAGGACTGAGACAATGGGTACACTAACTACCCTGATATAATCATTGCACACCGTATTCCTGTACTGAAAAACCATATCATAGCCCCACGAATATGTGCAATTATATATGTTAATAAAAAAGTGGACATTTCTTTTTATTTCCCCATCAAAGAAGCATGTCAGCTGGCGGGGACAGGGTCCACTGGGGATGGACAGGGCAGGTGGGGACTCTGAGTACCAGGTCAGGATGCATGTTTCCACTTTCCAGGGACAAGAGTGGAGCCTGGGCTGGCATCCTGGGCCCCTGCCCTGCTGGAGGAAGAAGGAACGAGAAGACAGCTGCAGAGGCAGAAACTGGGAGAGATCAACCTGGCCTGCTGGAAACAGAGGCAGAAGCTCGGATTGGAGGTAACTGCGGGGAGTGTGGGAAGAGAGGGAGAGGGAAATCTTGTGGAGAAGAGGGTTGGAAAGCAAGAGAGGAAAGAAAAGTCAGCATAGACGACTGAGTTCAAGAAACTGGGGAGCATCTTCTTGCAGAGGAGTTGGAGGGTGCAGAGTGGCACCAGCAAACGTCGTAAGTGAGAAAAAGCCGGGACCACATCTTCACTGGGCCTGTTTGTCAGCTGTGAGAACAGCCACTGCAAGGACCACCACAGGGCAAAAATGTCTTGGTTTTCCACACTACGCAAGGAGAAATTGTTTTGCCCTCCTAGCCCCATACCTACTCCAACTCATGAATTCCAACTTAGGGAATGCCAGGGCAGCTCAACATGCTGCAGACACACTTTTGTCCATCTGCTCTTCTCACTCTGCAGTTTGGGCTTGGTCCCTTGCCCAGGGATATCTCCGGGTACCCTGGTCTAGGTTATAGGCTCCTTCATGCCCTGAATGCCTCCTCCATTGCACTGTTATGACGGCAGCTATTACTACTTTATGGGATTATATGCTTAGTATCTGTCTCCTTGACCAAAGTGTAAGCCCAAGAGAATGTTATGTCTATCTTGGCCTCACTCATTTCCAGCATGGTACCTGGGATGTGCTAGCACTGAGTGGACACCTGAGGATGAATCAAGGAATCCTATTAATTCATCTAGAGGAGCCACAGAGGAGCAAGACTTACTGCACAGCTTGTTCTGGAACACTGAGGTCAGCGATTCCATCTGGCTGAAGTTGGCCACCAGGAAGACGTGGTCCTCATGGGGCTCACTCCCTATGGCCTTCAGTGTGTTGAGGTCCACTTGGCCCACGCCGATGGCAAAGATCAGGATGCCTGTGTCTCGTGCCTTTGCGGCCACCTCGGCTACCGAGTCCTGTGGCCTCCCATCTGTCACAATCATTATGACCCGCAGCACGTTCTCCCTCAAGGGCCGTGCCCCCTCTGCTTCTGAGAATGCGATGTTCAGAGCATACTGGATGGCCAGTCCAGTCATGGTGCCTGTGGACAGGTGCCTCATCCTCTTGACTGCACGCTCCACCTCAGACTTTCTCTTGAAGGTCTTGAGGGAGAATTCGTTCTTTACAGTGCTGCCATACTGGAGCAGGCCCACCCGGGTGATGTCAGGACCAATGTCTAAGAATTGCAAGATGTCTACGATGAACTCCTTGACCTTCGCATAGTCGTGGGTGTTGACGCTGCGGGAGCTGTCGATGATGAAGACCAGGTCTGCCCGCTTATTTTCACAGGAGCTCTCTGAGGAAAGAGGAAAAGTCAAATGCATTCCTTAGAACAGAACTGAAGACCCAGTACAAACTGTCCATTGTTGGAAATTCTGGGGTAATGATCACCCTTCAAAAACCTCCAGTCCTGGGACCAGCAGTTAGCATAATGGCAATGTCGCTGGACTCCCATGTAGCTGACTACGGTTCGAGTCCCGGACCCGGTGGCTTAAAACTCACGCCGGGCGTGTGTGCGTGCATGCCCTAGATCCCAAGAGGAGAATGGAGGAGAAGGGATTGCAGTGTGGCCATCCCCCCTGGGGGGGGTGATTTCTCGCTGTCTCTCTGTCTCTCTCTGTCTGGTGAGCGCACGCGCCCTATAGCAAAAACCTCTCCAAAAAAAAACAAAAACAAAAACCTCCAATCCTTACAAGTTGTCCTTCCCCAGTCAGGAAAATTATAAGTGTACATATGTGCATGACTGGATGATCATAAAAATTGCCTGCTCACAGATAGGATTTCTTTTTGCAAGATAAATGAACATAATTTCTAGAAAGTTGCCAGTGTGGTTTTGTTTTGTTTTATTTTGTTTTTGCCAGAGAGCATGTACACACACACTACAGAGAGAAAGAGAAAAAGCACCCTTCCACAATGGGGTGAAGTCACCTCGCATTCCTTTTTCCTCTATTTCTCCAACCTATTGAGATTTGGGGCACACATCCACATGTGCCCAGTGTGTATTTCAAGCCTATGGGGCCAAGTTTTAAACTGTGTACTATGTGGGATCTGGCTCTGTATGCACAAGGCTTAACCTTTGGACTACAAGGCCAATCCGCTAATGCAGTTTTTTGTTTGTTTGTTTCCTGAGAGATTTTTGCTATAGCGTGCATATGCTCTCCAGAGCAACAGAAAGCAAGAAATCAACCCCTAGGGGGGACGGCCATCCTGCAACCTCTTCTACTTCATTCTCCTCTGGGATTTTGGGCACGCATGCAACGGTCCCTGGCATGAGTTTCAAATCACCAGGTCTGGGATGTGAACTGTGGGAGTCCAGCACCTTAACTACTATGCCACCTGCTAGCCCCAGACTAATGCAGTTTTTAAGTGGGCAAACACTTGATCAGGACAAATCTATTTTATTATTCACTGCATGAAACATAAGCTTAGCCGGGCACTGCAGAAAATATTTTAAAAGCTTAGGTCAAGGTCCAATGTCAAAAAGCTTACTGTCCACCTAGGAAGACTTCGCTAATGACACAGTAAAAAAAAAAAATAACAAGTATGAAACTGTGTGGTTCTGAGCATAAATATTCAGAAAACAGCGATATTAGTCGAGGAGATGGGACACGAACTGGCCTCAGGGACACATAGTGTTTGGATTGGAGAGAAGGAACATGTGGAGAGGGACACATGACCAAAAGCCTAAAAGGGAATGAATTTGATGGATAACGGTGTAAGTGATTGGCCCTTGGAGTAGTAATACTCAGGGTTGTAGGCAGGAATTAGTTGGAGGGTAGCCTTTATACTCAGACTGAGAAATTTGTACACGATGTCATAGGTGAGGGGCATCTTAGCATCGTATCATTAGCTTACACTCCTGTAGCGAAGTTACACAGTAAACGGTCAACTGAGTCTGGCAGGCAAAGAGGGTGTCCCACACAGTTATGCTACTAATCTGTTGCAGGGGCGAGGAGCAGTCTCAGATGGCAACCCAGGAGGCAATAGTGGAAACAGTAAAAGGGATCCGACTAAGAAACGTTTTAACAAAGGACAGAATTAAATTGGAGAAAGCAGATACGAAGTCTCCCTTAGCACTGCGACTTCCTTACTTCTGCCTTCAGCATCCAAGCAAGAAGGTGGAAGAGATTTGGGCTGTAGAGGAAACCTCCCTTTTGTGTTTCTGGGACAAGGATGATAATGGATGTGAAGACAGGCCCTCTGCCTCAGTGGGAGGAAGCTGGACATTTCTGTTAGAACTTCTCACATATTTGGAGTTACTGCCTTTAGCCAGAGCAAGGCCCTCCTTCCCAGTCCTCCCTTCTCACCACCCCCCTACTCTCCTGTCCTCTGCCTCCCCTTCTATACTCCCTTCCCGGACTTTGCAGCTAAATCGAGATTTGAAAGGGATTAGTAAAGATATCCCAAATGCTTGCCCTAAATCCCAATCACCACAGCTGCTAGAGAGAGAGAGAAAGCCAAAAATGAAACAGTGAAGCTAGTCATAAAAACAAGAAGTGAGAAAGGCCCATGAGGTCATTATTCCGTGCAGGCTGGCTTGCCAAGCCAGGACTGGTCCCTGACTGCCTGCCCACACACCTCGTCAATGCAGCCTCGCAATCCACCAAGTCTGAGGAAGGAGCACCCCCAAAACCAGCCTGACAGAAAGCCAACCTTCTTCCACATCCACATGGAACACTGGGGGACTGGAGGAATCTACGGGTAGTTTCTCAGGACAGAGAAGCCCCAGAAACTGCCTTTGAGGGCCCAGTGATAAGTTCAATATTAAGCCTGACATTTGAAGCATATTTTTAAAATCTTTTGAACAGAGCACTTTCATCACAAAGGTTCCATTTGGTTTGCAGAACAAGCTATTGAGAGAAGAGCTAAGTATCATATCCATTGGTTTGATGAAAAAAATATGTACACTAAAAGTTTATAAACCTTTCATAATTTAGAAAAAGAGAAGAATATGAAAAGAAAATACCAATACTCAATTAAGGGTGGATAGGACCAACAGTTAGCATAATGGCTATGTCGCTGGACTCCCATGTAGTTGACTGCGGTTCATGTCCCAGACCTGGTGGTTTAAAACTCATGCCAGGCGCGTGTGCGTGCGTGCCCAAGATCTCGAGAGGAAAATGGAGGAGAAGGGATTGCGGCGTGGCCATCCCCCTGGGGGGTGATTTCTCGCTTTCTGTCTCTCTGTCTCTCTCTGCCTGTCTGTCGAGCGCATGCGCCCTATAGCAAAAACCTCTCAAAAAAAAAAAAAAAAACAAAAAAAAAAAAAATAAAGGTGGTTGAGAATGAAAAAAAAAAAAAAAGATGCAGGGGGCCTGCAGGTGGCATGGTGATTGGGGCGCTGGACTCCTACATGGCTATGGTTTGAGTCCTGAACATAGTAGTTTGCTTTCTCATTTTCCCTTTCTCTCTCTTTCCGGTCCAATTAAAATAATAATAACAAATAAAATGAAGTAAATAAATAATGTAAATTTTAAAAAAGAAAGGATGGGGATAAAGAACCACAGATGAGAGCCCCCAACATGTGGTCACTATGTGTACAGGCTTTCCCCAGCTGACTCCATCCCAGGACGCTGGCTCTCCTTCCTTGGTGCTCACGTGTGCCCTGCCGTAGGCTGAGCAGGAGCAGGGCCGCCACTTACAGCTATGCAGTTGGGGCTGTACAAAGGTACTGCCCAAGGATGCAAGTGGAACTGGAATCCACCCAAACTCTGGCTCCCAGGGCACCCTGAGAGGTACCTGGAGAAAGTGCATATCTATTTTAGCCCTGGGTTGGAGCAGTGGATGGCAGATCTGCAGGTCCCAGGACAGAGGACAAGGGCCAGGCACTCCCAGGACCAGGCTGACCCATCTCCAGGTACCACATCTGCCACACCCTTGATGTCTGAACTTCCTAAAGGAAGGATGTGGCCCAGTGATCTCCCCCTGCTAAGGAGAACAGGGACCAGGCTTAGACCTCATCAGGGAGGAGGATATTAATGAAAGACTTCTTTGAAGGAAAGGAGGTACACAGCAGACTGGCCCCCTAAGAACTCTCTTCTTCTGGAGATCTTTGGAAGCAGGGGGTTCTCCCTGAACTGACATTTTTCGATTTTTAAGTTCTCAAGTTTCATGAGGAGGGAGGGATCAGGGAGGAAGAATCAGGCCATGATTCAACTCCAGCTAGCCAGTCCAGATCATGAGTTTGCAGGTATGTGCACCCAGAATATACAGAGAAACCTCAGGACATGAACCCAGAACCTCCCCATGTGGGTTCTGTATCACAGAGTTGTGCTACTGCTGCACCACTATGGCTGGCTCTGGACTGAGATTTTTATTATGGGTCTTAGTCACAGTGCCACCATCCCACCAAGCATCACAATCAATTTAAAGGGAAGCTTGACAGTTCTATGTGAAATTGTGTGCTAAATTGGATTAGTTCCTGTCAAAACAAATGGGTAGTTTCCAAAAATGCCTGGACATTTACAAAAATACTACAAAGGTTGAAAATGTTGTTGGAGGTGCCAAGTGAGCTGTGGTTCTAAGTTGAAAACACCAAGTCCTGGCAGCCCAAGGAACCAAGTTTTCTTCAAGACATTGCTTCAGGTCTCTTGAGGGTTCAGAACCAGTCTCACAGCTAGGTCTGGAAGGGCTAGTTCAGGGGTTCTCAAACTTGAGTGTGCATCCCAATTCCCAGGGAGACTTATTAAAAGTTAAAAATCAATGGGTCACACCCACAGAACGTCTGATTCAGTGGGTCCAAGATGGCACCTAAAAACTTACATTACTAACCAGTGCTGCTGGTCCAGGAACCACACTATGAGAATGACTAGTCTGGGAAACAAAGACATTTCTGGAGAAAACAATTTCTGGGATGTCTTGGCCTCACTATTTCACTGTGAATGCCCGAAGAGTGGGAAACCGATCTCATTCATCTTTGTGGTCAAGTGGTTAGAAGTGCAGTAAGTCTTTCGTCAGCATTTGTGGAATTAAATTAAATTCTTGGTGGTGAAACAAGGCTTTAGGCAAAGGGAATTTAATCAGAGCAGTAATCTCAAGAAGGCAATGACAACTACAAAGCCAAAATGTTCTAGAATAAACTCCAGGACCCAAATACGTGCCATTTTATGAGGGAGCATAACCATTTTTGAACTTTTAGTTCATGGAATTATAGACTAATAAAACCTTAGAGCTGGAGGGGTCCAAATAGGGTGAAAGTCTCTCACTTTACAGAAGGGGAGTCAAAGAGATGACTGAGAGTCACAGAGGTGACTCTACCTCTGTAAGGCCTCATGACTCATTACGGTCAGACCTGGG